ACAACTATGGTTGGCAATGCCAACATCCATATGAAATATGTTGGCTTCTGGTGTAACCATAGATTGACTGAAACTCGAATGTTTAGAATATCGACACAAAAACATGTCATGTTTGTACCTTTAATGCTTCTCTGTGGCCGGTCAGATGAGATGAAATGTTTAAGCTTACTTTTGATCTCATATTTAACAGCTTGTCAGGCCGTGCTTGTGCTAGTGCTAATGCTCTGCCCAATCTGTTGCAGCTATGGTTGACAATGCCAAATAGGTTGTAGAAAACAAAGTGAATCGTCTAAATTCATATATATTTTGATGAGAAGTAGAAAAAAAAGTATAGTTTATTTTGAAGAGAACACATAGAACCAATAATAACTATATAATGTAGGGGTTTCCACCTAAGCCTTTGCTAGATATGCTCCACTCTCTCGTGTAGGGCACTCTGAATTTGTATAATCCAAACGAAGATTTTTCAAAGTTCTGCCAAACTAAAACAAGGGAGTATTTCTTGACCACATGACCAACCTAATCCGAAGACACTGCTCTACCTGCTGAACTATATGACCTTAACAAATTGAAATTTGTCATGTCCACTAAGAAGAAGGATTTATCCATAAAGATTCGGATCCTTCTTGTGGATGTTCACATCATTAGCAGCTCACTATAGCTCTGGAGAACGTCCCAAATGAAAAGGCTTCCCGGTATCAGTTCCCTCCAGCATCCCAGTTCATTTTGCACTAGCACGAGTCACGTTGCTCTGCACTTTTGCTGCTGTTCGCTATATGTATGTACGTTTCTCCTTTTCTGGTTACAAATAGACTAGCCATGGCTATATTTATACCTCCCGACTCATCCGGGTTTTCTCGATCACCCCTTCCCCATGTCCAATTGTCAATACGCGTGTTTAGTCATTCAGTCCCTATGCATGCTAACGAATCAGAGACCCATCTGATCTGCGTGACGCCATGAAGTTTCCACTGCTTCAGTTCCGAATTTCTCCTTGTAATTGTTTCTGCATGTTTACAGAGTAGAGTACGTTTTCCTTGCCTGGTGGCGTACTCAGGGGCTCAGGGCAAAGTAGTTGTTTGACACGGTGGCCCGCTGTTCCGTGGACCGTGGGGCAAAAACAAATTCTGAGAAAACCGTGGGGCGAAGTTGAAACCCTGCGGCTGCAATGGAGGCGGCGGCGGCGGCCGTGGGCGGGGAGGACGACGGGAGGGGTCGGAAGGGAAGCTGGTACGCGGTGGGGGAGCGCGCGGTGCTGGTGCCGTACCTGCGGGAGCACGTGCCGCGGTACCACGAGTGGATGCAAGACCCGGCGCTACTGGAGGCCACCGCGTCGGAGCCGCTCTCCCTCGCCCAGGAGTTCGAGGTCCACCGCTCCTGGACCCTCGACCCTCTCAGTTCGGCTCCTGCCCCCCTCGCCGCTTCCCCTGATCTCCTCCCTCTAGTTTGCCTCGATTTGGTGGTGGGCTGGCATGCTGTGACTGATTCGGCGAGATGCTTGTTTGTTTGCAGAGCATACTTTCATAGTGCTGGATAAGGAGTTGATCGAGGGAGAGTTCGTGGTCGGGAACCCACACACCGAAGGTTTGCTACTCTCTGATGCACGTTGCTTTTAGTCCATGATCATGAATCGGGAATCAGAGGTTACATGGATCTGGTATGATTCTGGTTGTAATTTTGCATACATGTTTCGAGAAGGATGTTGTGACTTCTGGTGTAAGCGTAGATTGACTGAGGCTCGAATGTTCAGAATACCAGCACAAAACCATGCCATTTCTGTACCTTTAGTTCTTCTCTGTGGTGAAGTGAGATGGAATGTGTAGGCCATTACGGAATAAGTTTCCTCAAAAGAGGAACGGTTTGGGAAAATGAAATTTAGTGTTCAAGCAATCTAATGGGCCAACAGTAGCGTGTTAGAGTTATGCAACGGTATTGGGATGAGGAGGCCTCAGCTGTCAAGCGGGTTGGAGAGCACCCAGATCTTCCAGTTGGAACATGGATAAGGGGAGGAGGAATGCCGGTTCAGCCTTCAATTATATGCCAGAGTTACTAGAACATAGAGATGAAAGATAATACACATTTGACAGGTAGAAAACAATACATGATCATCAAACTGTGTAATTGATGGCAGTTAGTTATATATAAACCTTTTATCTCTAGTTGACACAGAAAGCAACTCAAATGAATTTACAGAAGTTTCACTACCAGTATTTATAGGATGCAAATGTAGTCTTCAAGTTAAAATTTGAATTCACAGCTCTACTATAGTGTTTTAGGATCCTGATGTTGATCTAGTGATCTAACTCCAGATCATTGTTTGTATGCGTACAACAGTTAATACAGGACTGTTCTCTTCCTATAGCTTTTGTAGCTCACTTACCTGTCCTTCAGCCTTCATTACTAGTATATGTTCATAACGTCAGAATTCCGACCAACGTACAAGAATCTCCTGGCAATAGATTGGTTTAGCGCAAACAAGGTCTCCTCCTCCAAACAATCCAGTGACGCCCTATTGAAAGCATCCATGTATGACTGATTAATTAAATTTGCGTTGATTTCATATTCAGCAGCTTGCCAGGTCCTGCTAGTGCTAATGCTCTTCCTAATCCGTTGCAGCTATGATTGGCGATGTCAACATCTATATGAATGACCCTGATGATTTGGAACTTGCAGAGATAGAGATTATGATAGCTGAACAAAAGAGGTACCATCTTTTTAGTATTGGTTTAGTACCTCTTCTCATCACCTTAGATATATGTTTTATATTTCATTACTTTTTATTCATGGGAAATTACATGCATATTCTGTCCATTCTGACAGCCAGTAGACTTTGGTAGTCCAATTTGTGTATCACATTGAATTCTGTATGTCCTAAGTATTTGCTTTAGCTTAAACTGGTAACAATTGCAACCACTCAACTTATTATCCTTTGAATTATCAGTAGTGTGATACACTGATACTTCTTCACCAACTGCACTCGTAGGAAAATTTCATCAATATGGTACTATTTAATAATTCGCTAGAATTATGTTTTCTCTCAGTCTGTTTTGTTTACCTGCAACAGAGAGATAATATAAACTTAGTGTCGCGAATCTTTAACCTCTGTATTGCCCAAACGCTGATGATCCTGAAAGCCCTTGACATGATCTCAGTGTTTGTTATAAAGTAATTAAATTGTTAACGAACACAACATAATTCGCAATTGCTTTACCTCTGCCATTAGTACTTGATGCAGTACTTATCCATAATATAGAGTTTAGCAGATTGTTTTTGAAATGGGATTGTAATAGACAGATGGTGTTTAGTTATGTTACTCATGGTTCCATACTTCCATTGCTTCATGTTGCAGCCGTGGAAAGGGACTAGGTCAAGAAGTGACCTTAATGATGATGTCGTTTGCAGTAGAGAAATACGGAATTCACACTTTCAGAGCAAAAATTAGTGATTCGAATACTGCATCGTTAAAGCTCTTCAGAAAATTGGTGAGCAGATAAACCCACCCTTCTCGCTTGTTTCTGATTACTGATCATAATTGTATATTCTGTGTTCTGAATTCAGGGCTTCAAGGATGCTTCCCATAGTGCAGTTTTTAAGGAGGTATGGATTTTTGACACTCCCACTTCTGCAAATACTATCTTAGCGTACTACAGATTTTTCACTAAAAATGTTTCAAATCCTCCATGACTTCTCTGGTACTATGATGTTCGATTAATTAATCCAAGCAACTGCATGTGTTGCTAGTAACAGTAAGCTTGTTGTCTCGGCATGTTTTACAAGATGTTGACACCACTGCAAGTATGTCACGGACGTATAAAAACATATTAGTCTATTGCAACAGCAGTGGTCAATACTTGCTGCTCCATCTTTCCTTGATCTGGCTCATTATCTCTATCTCTCAGGTGACACTGGAGGCGCCTGCAGCTGAACTCCCATTAAGCTCCCCTCTGACCGTAGGAAGTTGGTGACATCTGTGATTATATGCCCCAAGATGTGTTGCAGTAGACATGCAATCAGTGGTTGGTCTTCATCAACTGATAGAAGCTACTCCCTCCGTTCCAAATTACTTGTCTTGGATTTGTCTAGATACGGATGTATCTAGACTCATTTTAGTGCTAGATACCTCCGTATCTAGACAAATCTAAGACAAGTAATTCGGAACGGAGGGAGTAATTGTGTGAGCTATCAGCATACTTAATGTAATGAGTACTGCCTTCATCTGCCAACAACTGCTTGGGCCGATTGCGCACAGAGATATATATAGCAATAATAATAGGAAGAACCCTGTGTTGGGTTCCTGAGCAGTTGAGGTGACGCCTAATGTTTTGTGGCGAAGCGTTGCAAGTTCGGTACAAATTGCCATTGGGGCAAACTTAACAAGGTCGCGGTAATTTGCAGGAACTGTAGATGGTATATGCATCGTCAATGACACAACATGGGACATTTTGTTTTGAAGCATTTCACGGTGCTCGTCTTTTGCGTTTGCGGAGTTCAGATATCCCTATTCCTCCCTATGGGTGAATTTTTGTTTGTTGTTGTTGAACGTGCATGATTAAATGTATTAAACGATTTGTGTATGCGGATGTGGCAAAAAAGTTTCAAAGTTCAAGTACAAAATATTGAAAGAGAGTTTTTTCAAAAAAAAGAAAAAAGAAAGAGAGTTCCACAATTTACCCTAGAAATCAAGTCGGAAGAACTCCCGTAAAAAAAAAGTCGGAAGAACTGTTTTTTAGAGGGCACCTCTGCAACGGACGATTTGTGCAAGTGGGCGATCTCTCTGTCCTGGGCTACGATTGGGCTTGTTTAATATGGCTGTTCGATTGGGCTTGCAAAGCCGGCCGGCCGGCCTACCCAACAACCTTGGAGGTATTTTAAAAAAAAAACCTTGGAGGAACTGGCAGCGGGACCCGCTTACCAGAGGCTGGAGTCCCGTCCTATACTCCAACCCTGGGCCTGGGCAAACGAAACAGGAAACGATAACGAAACTCGCAGAGAGGACGGACATGGCGGCGAGGAGCGAGAACGAGTCGGACGGCGACGTGGGCACCAATCCCGCCGAGGGGGGCTCGTCCCTGTCCCTGCCGCCTCTAGCTGCCGGACCAGCCGTATGCGTCCTCCGGTCCGCCGGGGACTTCGCCGGCGGCGCCTTCGTCGGATCTATCTTTGGATATGGTAATCACCCCCCTCTCCCTCTTATCCTTTTCCAGATTACTCTGCTTTGCGGTGATGCTTTCTTTGATTCTGTCGTGGGTGCTGTCAGGAATTTCTGTTATCGGTGTTCAGTTCTTATTAGGAACTTGATTATAGGAAATTCCGCCGCCTTAGGTTTTGCACCCAGTTCTTGCTAGAATCTAAGAGTATATGATTGTGCACATTTGATACAATTCCTTTTATTCAAGTATAATCTCATCTCCCATTGTTTGTAATCATTTAATCTTGATTTAGATCCTTATTTTCTCGGCAAATATCTAGATACTTATTGTGTTAGCATAAAGGAAGCACTACTGGTCCACATGCTGTCACTAACAGCACCTGTGACACCCGTTTAACTTCCTCACATAAAATTCTTATATTGCATATCCTATTCTTTTTTCAGGACAAGGTTTGCTATCTAAGAAGGGCTTGAAGGGCTCACTCGGCAATGCAGGGTCTTCTGCCAAAGTTAGTGTTCATGTTTGCTGCGTGTTCCTAACAAGGAAATTGCGCTATCATTTTCCAGACGACTTGCTAATGATACAAATTTCTTGGATTAGAGTTTTGCAGTTCTTTCTGGCGTCCAGAGTTTGGTTTTGTGCTTGTTGAGGAAGCTGCGTGGGAAAGATGATAGTATGTGTATCTGTTCAGTGATCAGCTTTTTGTTAACACCTTGGGACTTGGCTACATAGTATGAACTAACATGTTCCTTTTGCAGTCATCAACTCTGGCATTGCTGGGTGTTGCACAGGTCTTGCTTTGAGTTTTCCAGGTACATTCACATTGAACTAAACTAATAACATTTTTCACAGCTTACTTACTAATTATGCTTGACATTGTTTAGTATAATATGAGGAAGTTGTGATGCGATATTCTGTGGTATTGCATAACACTGTGAAAAAGATTGTTAGTAGTTGCAAGCAATTTTTGGCTCTGTCTTCAATATTCAGTGATCAAGTTAGCCTGTGTTGTTATTCTTGTTGCTGGAATACCTAAAAAAGTTGTTGTTCTTTAGATTCTCTAAAAGTGTCATTTCTGTCAATATGAACTGCTAAGCTCCTATGGTTCTGGGATGGCCCTTTATAATGAACATTTTGAACATGTTATAATTAGGTTAGTAGTTTGTTATCCAACTGTGTAGTTTGTCCATTGGGTGATAAAGTTTATTTTTTAGCTGTGCGTCCAGTTCATGATGTATATTGTTATCATACTTATTTAGAGAATCCGAGTAAGAACGTACCCTGAAGCTTGCCTGGAAATACAGGACTGAATTACTTGTTATCATTGTAGAATTTTAAGTAAATTAATTTACAAGAAGCCCAATACCACTTGTAAGAAATTCACTGAAATCTGGAGCCTTGTTCTTTGCATGATAAAAAGAAGAACCATCTACAATTTTAACAGTAAAAGATACTCACTGCTTGTTAATGGGAGTCCTGCAGCCAGTGGGCAAGAATGCAAAGACTCCATTTAACTGAGCAAGCACTTGATTTTTTTTGTCAAGGACTTCAGATCTTGCAGTCCAAATAAACTGGACTGCACATGTATTTGTCAGGGTAATTTAGTGGTGGTGGTATAGTTAAGTTGGTGATGTGCTAAACACAATCTTATGCATCACAAATACCTACTCTCTTCACACTGCATCTCTCTGTTGCTTTACTGCACATGTGCTTCTGGGTCATGGCAGTCATGCCATTTCAACAAGTGTAGTATTCAAGTGTCTTACGGAACTCTAGGCGGCAGTCTTCAGTTGTTCTAACGAAAGAGGAAGTTTGCACTGGAAGGATATTTCAAGCATGATTTTGTTTAGTCAACATCATATCTGCATTTGCTACCCCAGGCTGCTACCTTTAATTGGCTATGATTATTAATATGAACCACTATCATTTTGTTAAATTGTTGAGGCTTTGGTGGCATGGTTTTCTTACAAGCTTGTTTGTCTGAATCCAGGTACACCACAAGCACTGCTTCAGAATTGCGCCACCTTCGCAGCATTCTCATGCATCATGGAGGGGCTCAACAAGCAGCAGACCGCGATGGCGCACACCCTCGGTGGCAATGCCCTGAACTTTGCGCACAACGGTGGCGGGGGCGTCCTCCCCCCTTTCACTCTCCCCCCAATCCTCGACGCGTCAGATGCTTTCGCCTCATGCTGCCAGGCCTTGGTCGTCAAGCCCAAGAAGCACTAGACAGCATCATTAGGAGGGAGAGAGTGGGATATGCTCAGGAAACCTAGCTAGCTCCTAGCGTTATGTAAATTTTGCTTTTGGATAATGTCGAAAATCTAGATCGTTTGCTTTTGTCAGCCGGGCGGTTTGTTGTCGCCGCGTTTCGTGGCATGCGCGGGCTTGCTTTGTTGATGGGTATGTCAAGGATAGATTTTGTTGACCCGGAAGATAAGATGTCGTGGAAAATTTTGGCTTGATGGTTTTATCTGTTCCAAGTGCAACCGTTGCACGGTCTGCTTGGTGTTTCACATGTGGGATGTGGGATGTGGGAGGTCAGTGAACTACTTGATGGTTGTTAACTTTCTTTGTGTTTGTAGCAGGTTTGCACCGTCAACAATGCAGTCTGTTTTCTACTAGACGATAGTACACACCGGCGCCTGCGGCAGCTTGATTGAGCCGCCATCTGCGACTGATGAATTGTAGGTGTAACGATCAGCTGCCCGTAACGACGGGCACGCTGCAGCATGTATCTTCTGTGGATGAACGAAGCCTTGTCGTCATGGAGAAAATAACGACGGTGGTGGCAGCAGCGGGGCGAATGGGCTGCTACGGCGTGCACGGACGGACGTCACGAGGCCTGCAACCGTCGGTCGCTCCCCAGATTTTTGGACACGCTGCTGCGTCTGCGGCTGCGTGCGCAGCACACCGGCCACGGCTGAGAACGTGTGAAATTTCTTCAGGTTCGGCGTACGCCACGCACGGTAGAAAATCTCGCGGCGCATAGTCAAAATGGATGCTTAGCACAGGGGATATACAGAGTACGACCGGCACGGCGGAGGAAGTTATGCCTGCGATGCTGCCGAGGGGTGATAACCCGTCGTCAACTCTCTAGGTTTTCATCCACCCGTGCCCTGCACTGCACGTACCTCCGGCATCCCATCTTTCACGTCGCCGGCCGTATTATAAATAGCCTCCCTCACCTCCAGCCACACCAGACACCACTCGCACTTGCACCTCCAGCTCGGAGGAGACCCGAAACGAAGCAACGACGCGGCACGAGCAAGGCTCCATGGCGCGGCTCCTCCTCGCACTCGTGGCCACCACCGTGCTGCTGCTGCTCGCCGCCGCCGGGGGCGCGCCGGCCCAGCAGCAGCAGGGCTGCGGGAACGCGACGTTCCCGGCGGGCCGGTCGTTCGCGCGGTGCAACACCCTGCCCGTGCTCGGGGCCAGCCTGTACTGGACGTACCACGCGGCCAACGGCACCGCCGAGCTCGCGTTCCGCGCGCAGTCCGACGCCACCGGCTGGGTCGCCTGGGGCATCAACCCCGGCGGCGCCGGCATGGCCGGCAGCAACGTCTTCGTCGCCTCGCCGGGAGGCGGCGGCGCCGTGTCCGTGCTCACCACCATCCTGAAGACCACGTCCCCCGCCCTGGACAACACCACCCTCTCGTTCGCCGTGCCGGTGCCGCCCACCGCCGAGTACGCGGCCGGCGCGTACACGATCTACGTCACCGTGGCGCTGCCGGGGAACTCCACGCAGCAGAACACGGTGTGGCAGGCCGGGCCGGTCAGCGCCGGGGCCATAATGGCGCACCGGATGTCCGGCCCGAACCTGAAGAGCGTTAAGAGGCAGGACTTTCTGTCCGGCTAGAGCGCCCGCCGAGGTCTCCAGGCCACGCTGCGGCGACGGCGTATGTTCGTATACGCAAATACTGTCAGTGTCATGATCATGTATATGTATAAATAAATCGCACGGCATATTTCTCGTGTTCCTGCTATTAGACGTCGTAGATACAGTATCAAATAAAGTGTGTGCTAAACGGAAAATGCTCGATGGAGCTGGGCCTCCATAGAGGCCGAATTTGAAATGGTCAAAAATTCAAATTTGCACATTTTAGAAAAAATTGAGAAAATATACACACAAACTTAGAGACATAATGCACAAGTGTGTAAATTTTCAGGACGAAATGTGTTAAAATTAGTGCTACACAGAAAAAAGAAAAAGAAATCTGAGGCTTCTTAGTAGATGCACTATTCATCCTCAAAGTCGATGATTTTTTTTGCACATATCGCATTTCAAGATATTTCATCCTGAAATTTTACACAAATACACATCACATTCTTGTTTACTTGTATAATTTTTTCAGTTTTTTTTAAACTGATAAGTTTGAAAAAAAATTCAAAAATTTCGGCTTCTATGGAGGTCGAGCTCCAAAACGCCCCACTCATGCTAAACATTGTATATTGTATATACGCCCTAAGCCAAATTTAGGGATATAGCTTATGGTGATTAATATTTTCAACCATTTTCTCACTGGCATTTTTTCCTTTTCTTTTCTTTGATTGGTTAAACAAATTTGTATAATAGATCAAAAAAACTGAAACAAACAAGGGTGAAAAAATAGGACCCCAATATTGCGCTAACGTCCCCTCATGGAGGTCACCCGGCTGAACGTTGCGACCTGAGAGTGTTCCATCAAAAAACCACTCCTAAAGAGCACTCGAGAATTGCCATGCTAAAACAGATATGTTTACAATGTTATTGTATAAAGATTTGCCATGTTGTATAGAAAATTTTGACATGCTAACAGAAAGATTGTCAAGAATTTGCCATGCTGCAGTAGAGTAATTGTCATGCGTTTTGGGGGAGTTGCTACGCCGCAACATGGAGAATTGTCAGTCCAAAAAAATCCAACTTGTTTAGGATTTGCCATGCCGGTAGAAGAGAATTGGCATGCTACGTCAAAAGGAACTTGTGAAAATTATCATGCTCTAAAAATAGAATTTACCATCGGTGATGTGTTTGCTCAAATTGTCATCCTTAGCGAACCATTTAGTGTCATCAACTTGTAGTTCGCTTAGAGAGGTGCATGGGAGCGAACAGTGATTACCACGTGTCATCTTTGAGATTTGTATTCTAAAATTAAACATGCCACACTGCGTTCACTCAAAATAAGCCTTTGTGAAGTACATAACCGTATGTGATGTAATTCTGCACATCAAGATAAAATACACAATTTGAACTAGACCTGCAAAAAACAATTTCATTAAATATGCATTTGGCCACATAATTCTCATAATACACACGTTTCATCATTGTAGTGACCATGAGTAGACTTGGAACAATGCATGCTAGCTAGATTTCACACATGTGCATGCATAAGTGAAATGTGCATGCACAAATGTAATCTACCAAAAACACCACATGTCAAGTACATAACTCAAAGGCATGCATGCATTTTTAGCACCAAACACTAGCAACAAAAGACAATATCCAACAACAATGTAGAACATACTGAGTTGGTGAGCTGAAAACTCTCTTGTTAATGACATGTGCGATGTGTGCAGAAGAGGACAAATTTTCCCCTAAAATTGGCCAAGTCAGTTTTGGAAGTGGTGCGTCGTCCATCAATGCAAAGAGACGCATGTTTTGTAAGTTCAAGTTGTATCGTGAAGTGTAAAAGAGTTGTGAAATAGTGAAGATATAAACTTACATTGGATAGATAGTCTGAATTATATGTTGCATGAGATTTGCATAGTGTATTCATGTGTTTGCAAACATAAAAGCCATAAAGACTGCCCCCTTGTGGCTACTTGAGGACACTAAAATTTTGCATAAATATA